TGGGAAAAGACCCTGGGAAATGGGGAAAGACATTGGGAAATTGGGAAGAAAATGGGAAAAGACCCTAGGAAATGGGGAAAGAACCCCGGGAAATGAGGAACATACTCTGAAAAATGGGGGAAAAAAATGGGAAATGGGGAAAGAACCCCGGGAAATGGGGAAAAAAACTGGGAAAATGGAAAAGGATTCCGGGAAATGGGACAAGACTCTCAGGTACTGGGAAAGGAGCCTCGGGATGGGAGGAGACCCCCGGGAATTGGGAAATCCCTGCGGGAACGAGAGAGCTCCAGGACACGGTGAGTCACCAGGGCAGGGCCCTGTGCCACCGTCACCTGTGCCACTGTCACCTCTGCCACTGTCACTGCCACCTGTGCCACTGTCACCTCTGTCACTGTCACCTCTGCCACCGTCACCTGTGTCACTGCCACCTGGGCACGGCCTGCCCTGCGGGACACGGGGATGGGACACTGGGAGGGGACAGGGGGATGGGACACCAGGGTGGGAACAGGGATAGGACACCGAGATGGGACATTGGGATGGGACATTGGGATGGGACACCGAGGGTGGGACACGGGGACATTGGGATGGGACAATGGGATGGGACATTGAGAGGGGACATGGGGGTGGGACATGGGGATGGGACACCAGGAATAGGATACAGTGATGGGACATTGGGATGGGACATGGGGGTGGGACACGGGGACATTGGGATGGGACAATGGGATGGGACATTGAGAGGGGACATGGGGGTGGGACATGGAGATGGGACATGGGGATGGGAACAGGAATAGGACATCAGGATGGGACAGGGGGATGGGACAACGGGGATGGGACACCGGGGATGGGACACCAGGGATAGGACACAGTGATGGGACATTGAGATGGGACACGGGGATGGGACAATGGGATGGGACATGGGGACATTGGGATGGGACAATGGGATGGGACATGGGGGTGGGACACGGGGATGGGACATGGGGATGGGAACAGGAATAGGACACCAGGATAGGACAGGGGGATGGGACAATGGGATGGGACACTGGGAATGGGACACCAGGAATAGGACACGGTGATGGGACATTGGGATGGGACACGGGGATGGGACACCGGGGATAGGACACGGTGATGGGACATTGGGATGGGACAGTGGGGATGGGACAATGGGATGGGACACTGGGAATGG